GGCAATGTACGACTTATTTTGTCTGGAGCAGCACCTCTTGCCCCTCATGTAGAAGAGTATCTACGAGTAGTGTCATGTTCATATGTTCTTCAAGGATACGGTATTTTGCTTTCATCCTATCAAGTTATGTCTGCCAATATTGGATATTTTTCTCTTTGTTCATATTACAGTGACTTCCTGCTCCTAGTGAAGTGTATTTTTATCTTTTCAACACTTCGAAATTAATAATTGTCCCCTTGCTTCGCGATGTGGAATCCAGATGTCATGTTATTATTCCCATATAGAGGTGTCAGCTGAGAATTTCAACATAGGTTAATCCGCAAAATTTTAAATGCTATGTTTATATTTGTTATGCTAGTGAGCTATATTTAATCTTTTGAATTGCTTTTTCCCTAAATAATGCTACCAGTTAATATCCTGATGCCCTAATATTTGTAAGATAGCTCTAGTTCATAAAGTGTAAACCTTCCTTTTCTGGTTTTTATATGGAAATTAAAATGTAGAGTGGAGCACACGTTCCATTATTTGCGGCTTTATCATACAATGTAATTAATTGTGTTCTAGTAGGACACTCTTGTTTAAGGGACAAAAGGATAGATTTTCTTTTTTAAATGTCATAAATTGTCGCCTGTAGTATATAGGTTTGTGTAGGTGTAATGCTGATTTCCAGAACCTGGAAATTCATTGATTGGCAGTTGTAATAGCGTATTTTCCAGCTCTAGATGGTATCTGACTTGATTTCTCTACTGTAATATAGGTTTAACAGAAACTTGTGCTGGTACATTCGTATCTATACCAGATGAGATGGACATGCTAGGTACAGTGGGTCCTCCAGTGCCCAATGTGGATGTGTGCCTGGAATCTGTTCCCGAAATGAATTATAATGCCCTTTCAAGTACTCCACGTGGAGAAGTATGCATAAGGGGAGATACTTTATTTTCCGGCTACTTCAAACGTGAAGACCTTACAAATGAAGTCTTGACTGATGGCTGGTTCCACACAGGTTCTGTCACTAGTTCAATTCGAAGTGCAGTATTTCGAATGTCTTTTCATCTTCATTTTGATAAAAATCTCTTTCTCAGGGGATATTGGTGAGTGGCAACCAAATGGAAGCTTGAAAATTATTGATCGCAAGAAGAACATTTTCAAACTCTCTCAAGGAGAATATGTTGCCGTGGAAAACTTGGAGAATATTTATGGTCTAGTTCCCGATATTGAATCAGTATGTGTCAACTGTTGCGACAGATAAACATTTATGTACACATGCATATACAAGTTGCATATTCTTCTCTATGATATCTATCTGCAAACCAGACAATGCAGGGGGAAAAAAGAAGATAAAGAAATGGTCTATGTAAAATGCAATATTGTGATTTTGGGGCATTTGATTATTGATACATTGTCTCGATTGAGATTTTGTTTCTTGCATTGACATTTAGTAATCTGCAGATATGGATATATGGGAACAGCTTTGAGTCTTTTCTTGTAGCTGTAATCAACCCAAGCAAACAAGCCGTTGATCGGTGGGCGGAACAGAATGGTATATCTGGGGACTTCAATGCCCTTTGTCGGAATCCGAAATTGAAAGAATACATACTTGGAGAGCTCTCAAAGATTGGAAAGGAAAAGAAGGTATTTATCCCCTTTTACCTTTTTTATTCAATCATGTAGACTTCTGTCTTTTGTGCTGGTTGCCGAAAGAATAGCAGAAGAAAATTGTTTTGGAAGTTTCAATGCTTATCTAAACTTTTCTATTATATATTTGGCAGTTAAAGGGTTTTGAATTCATAAAAGCAGTACACCTTGATCCGGAACCATTTGACATGGAACGAGACCTTCTCACTCCAACATTTAAGAAGAAAAGGCCCCAGTTGCTCAAGTACTACCAGGTAGATTTTCTATGACCAGGCTAAGTAGATCATAAGATTCATTTTGTTTCTGGTTTAATAAATTGCCATCTTTTTTAAAAAGGCTGTGTCTGCAACCATCACTTACTTGGTTTTTCTCTTCTCCGACCATTCTCCTTTGTCTCTCCATTGTTATTAGTGGGATCACTCAAATTTGCAAAGCATATTTTCTTTTGTTGAAAGTTGCTGGTGTTATCGTTGAGGCACATAGGAACTTTCTACATTTTCCAAGCATCTTGCCATTCTTACCACCCAAATCAAATAGCTAAATTGTCTGCTGTTATCGTATTTACAAGCCAAATTTTATGTTACCCATGATATGCACACCATTTCTATGTTCCTTATACGGTTACTTTGTTTTGCAGAATGTTATTGATAGCATGTATAAGAATGCAAAATAAGCAGGATGCTTGGACTAACTTTCTTATGGGCTATCACCATAAAGTTGCTTTGCTTTGATTACACCATTTCTGCCGGTCACATTTTACTTCTGTAACATTTTTACATGTCCACCTGTCATCGTTCCCCTACCCTGTCGCCAAGGGGGGAAAAAAACGTTTTACGTTGTGGATGTATATATGGCTGATAACGACTTTAATTGTCTCAATTTCATAGTATCAAAGCTTAGATTGTTCGGATACTATGCGAGTTGTGACTTTTGAGCTAGAAAGTTATTTTATTTAGAATAATGCTACTTTGCCGGTAAGTAGATGACCGATAGAGTGACATAATAGGTGTTGGCAATATGTGGTTGGATGAAAAATCAGACTTTGTGCCAATAATTGAGAAGATATGGTTCAATTTCAGGTCCATAGTTCCCAATAGTCTGATGTGTAGTGAAGTTGCATAAAAAGAATGAAGTATGAGAACTACATAAATTCAAACTGGCAATCATCTTCAGTTTTACATTCAAACATGCTAGTGCATGTATGACTTCTTTCAATTTCAAAAAAATAAAAAATAAGAAATAAGAAAAATTTGAAATCTCACTGACTGTATTATTGAAGTAATTAGTTTTTCTTTAGCACTATGCATCAAATATACCTGTAATGTTTTACATCCTCATCTTTTCCCATATCTTTCAACCACGGTCAATAGTTTTATAATTTGGATATTGAGATTCTTTTATTGTCATATTTTACCAGACTGTTTTCTACATTTCGTATTTTATGTTATTTTCTGTACTATCGATTCGATTTCTGTGCAACTTACTAAGTAGAGTCAGTCACGAAAAAAAAAAAACATTGTAAAGATACGATGTATTAAACTTGGGTAGATCCTGTTGAAATAAGAAAATTAGAGAGAGAAATAGTTAAAACATAGAACTCGAAGACCGGATGACTCTGATACCATGTAAAAATAAGAAAAGTACAGAGAAAAAAGAGAGAAGTAAAGAATATTTGTATATTTTGAGGTGTATATAAACTGTACAATATACCATCCTTTTATAGGAGAAGGATGTTACTACAAAATGTAACAATATCAACTAATTAAGTCTAATTAGACAAAATATCAATCATTCCCGATTTAGGAAGATATTCCTAAATTAGGAATATTAATAATATACTAATATATTATATATTGACAGATCCTTTGAAAAAAAAAAAAACAACCATGATAAAGATACTATGTAATATTACACATGGGTAGCTCCGATATACATAAATGCATATAAAGAATTTCATGCATTTTTTATTACAATTTATTTGGCCTTTATAGGTAATAGTCCAATAACCAATGGTGGTTTATGGTATTGTACACTGCTTTAGATTCTACTAAATCGTTGAATAGCTGATTTTCATCGTCACAGTTGTGGAATAGCCAAGTACCCTTTCAGTTCATAGTGATGCAAAGCTGCATTGTACCCTTCAAAGTGGCAGAGAATGTGACCTCCAAAGTCCTCTAAAATGGTTTATGTCTACAATGATCAAGTGTTAAATACATGTTTTGTCTACTCATACCTTTTTAAAGGGAGAAATGCTATTCATCCCCAGTGGGGATGCATCTCCAGTCTATGTGACGTTAATGTGACATTAAATGATAGGTGAAATTAAATAAGTCATTTAATTTCGCCTATCATTTAATCAATCATTTACATCCACATAGATTGGGGATGCATTCCTATTGGAGATGAATAACATTTTTCTTTTAAAGGTGAAGAAATTAAGGCTAAAGTAACGAAATAATGAAAAAAGGCAAAATATGAAAATGAAAGTAAATGGTGGAGAATTAAAAGGTCAGTTTTAAAGGTTGAGGGTGAACTTGCCAGAGACTATAAAGTTGGGGACTGATTGCTGAAATCCCTCAAAAGACATAAAAAGAAAGAAAACTTGGCGAAGGACACGAGACGAGGGGAAATTGGGTTTTGCACCTTTTATCAAACTCGTATTCCTAGACTTTTTTTTTTCACCTATTTATGTATCAGCTACCTCCGTGGAAGGCTCTCGACTACATAAGCCAAAAGACTACGACCAGTCGACCACAAGACGAACAATACAAGTTAACTTTATTTCCAACCCCAATAGCCAAAAAAACTTAAAAATAAAAAAGAAAGAAAAGAAAAGGAAAGGAAAAATTATATTGAAGAGTAGAATTTTTTATCTAACGTGGACAGGAAAAATTATATTGAAGAGTAGAATTTTTTATCTAACGTGGACAGAAACACTGGGAGAATATTAACTTATATAGAACAATACTACAGCCACTAAATAACACATAATTTGCCTTGCACAAACTATACCCATGTTGCAAAAGAGAAATGTAGTCAAGTTTACAACATAACAACACAAAAAGAGGGAATGCACTCTTTTTATACCAATTCTCTCTCTCAATCTATCTATGGATAATTAAGTAGAGAAGAAAGAGGATGAGCACCCTTTTTATAGCGTCTCTTCACTCCTTTCTTCGTCCAACCTTCGACGTACTGATATCACAAACTAACTGGCAATCGAAGCTTACAGGAAGTTTAAAAAAAAGAAAAAAAAAAGCACAGAAGACTTCCAAGACTAAATCTTGTATAGCTGCACAATTCTTGTACTATGAATTCACATAAGCTGTGAACTTTTTTACGTAGCATCTCTTGTTTTCCTTATCTTAGACGAGAGTGTAACTTGAGACTGAGACCTCTGCTGGAGAAGCAGAGTGAATATAAACAAACTCAATGCTTTTTCCTGCAGGCAATGAGTCAATCCATGCTGGGAATGAATAAGAATCACTGGACTTCATGAGACCCCATATAGGACCGTAGAGCTTGGAAATCGAAAGCTTCAAATTTTTCAAGGTCTTGGGAGACTTATTGGTTACTATTGTGGAGTATCTGTAGTAAGTTTTTCCTTTCGCAACCCATGAAGTTGTCTCCTTTTGTGCAATGTCAATAGGGCTGGCAGATGAAGCTGCAAAACGTTTTTTTTTCCACTTTAGATGTATCCTCGCAAAAAGAGATGTTGCTCCAATATGTACCAAAAGTGTATTCTGTTAGAAGTTATGAACTAATCCCTTCTTGCAAGAGCAATAAATAGAATGAAAATCAAATCAATCTAGTTCCCAAGTGTCTGATATACCAACCAATCCAAAATGAACCACCTTCATGAGGAAGCAGAATGTTACCTGTAGCTGGTGTTATTTCAGGTTTTGGAGCTGCTTTTGGCTTAGTATTAACCGGTTTAAGTGCAGGAAGTTCCACTGGAGAGACAATGTATAATTATTCAAGTCTTGTAAGCAAACGCTAGATAAAACTTCAAATTTGCTAAAATGAAGTCATTGAACTAAACATACCTGGAAGGAGCTGATTGTACCCGTCGTGACCACCTTGTAGCCTTGCCAATAAGCCCAAAAGGGGGGCATTGTTGTAGGTAGCTGGTTCAGTTTGTTCATAGTTGTCTCTTTGATCAGCAAAGTTGTCATAAGCATCAGGTCCTCCAACAAGTGCACCGGTAAGGAGATTTGGGTCCTTTCCCTTCCTACTGAACCATGTGGCATACCCTCCTCGGCAACTAACAAATGAAGGGTCTACCTTAAAGGAGACAATTGAAGAACCTCTATGGTGAACTTGTTGTGGGTAGTTGTTTCCATATCCCACCATGTAACTTGTGGCTCTTGGGTTGTCTCCAAGAATGTAATCAACCTTACATGTCAAAAAACAAGATTAGATTCTTTCTGCTTGTTATTTCAACTTCATGATTCAATATACTCCATTTCACCTCAAGGTATAAATGAACAATATGATTAAGTTCCAGTGTTCCACACAGTCCAAAACCAAGTTCAAGACCAAAATCAAAAGGAAAAGGAAAAGGAAAATTCTCGCAATAAGGCAGGTATGAGCTTGGTTGTTTAATCGTGTCTTGTGTTGAACAATAGAGACTTAACAGTAGAGTAGTCAAATTTGAGTTTTCCAAACTTACGATGTTTGGAGAGAGAAAAAAAAATTAAGGACAAAGGCTTTATCAAGGGAGAAAATGTTGATGTTTGTCATTCTCTTGCGGATTTGTACTCCTTCCGAGGTGGAGGGGGAAATTAGTTGGGAGACGTGAAGTGGATAAAAACAAACACGAGTTCTTTGTAGTGTTTACTCTTATACTATACTAAAGAGTTCCTCTTATTCAGAGGAGAGTTGCACCTGAGATTTAGCAAAAGAGAAAAGTTCAGATGGTGGAACATAGCCAGAAGCACACTTGAGGGACTTTCCGGCAGAGGATAGATAATCAGAGTAGACAGCGAGGAGGAATGAAGCACTTGTTACAAACTGCATATTGTTCCACCTCTGCCGAAAAATGAGTCCTCCCGGAGTCTTTTGAACATTGGCGGAGCCCTTTCCAAGGCATGAACACATAAAATACTCGGCTTTTTGCTGGTACTCCTCGAACGCTGGTGTGTAGTGTCCACCTTTTCCTTGCATTAGGAACTGCAAGAAGATTGTATTCATACTAGTTACTAGAGAAGTCCAATCAAGAATTACATATATACGTAGATATAGACCATTTCCATAAAACGTTGAATCCTGTTATAAGAAAGGATATTTCAGTGATAGTGTGTTGTTAAACCACCTAGCCTAAAAGATGATGGCCTTGATTTCGGAATATTTGGCTAATTTGATACCACGATAAATCATCTCGTCTATACAATAACTACAATAAACCTTCATGTTTTGTGGAATAGAATTAAAATTTGGAAACTGAACAAATTGATTTCATCAATTCTTGCATTTTAAAACAAAGTTGATTTAGTTTAAGCTGCCAAGAATAGCGTAAACAAAATTTGATGTGCCTTGTGAGTAGAGTTAGAAAAAGAACAAAGTTTGATTGTGCTTAAAAGAGATTTTTTTTTAAAATTACGTTTGACAAAATAAGTAACTTAAAAGTAAATTTGTCAAACACTGAGCATATTTTGAATAAATTTACCTTGGCAACTAATGTCTGAACACCAGCATACTTCACATCCCATCCAAACTCAGTCATGGCCCAACCAGTTCCACCTAGTGAATCACCATTGTTCCCTAGGTATGTCAAGTAGTACTCATTGTTTGATGCCTTGTACAACCATGCTGCTGCCCACAGCAATTCATCCTATACCCAGAAAAAAAAAAAAAGCAAAATGATTAAAATTTGAAACTATTTTAATGACAAATTAAATTATGCATATAATATTTGTTTAAATTTGCACCATTGGTCCCCATTGTATTGTTCTAGTATGAAGTTGGTACTAGACCTTTAAAAAAGAGCAAGTTGGTCCCCACCTTTAGTTAAAGTTGCAAAATAGTCTCCAATAACAAAACCCGTCTAGATATCTATTAAATCACCACAAGTGCACCCTCTTGTCCAATTTTATGAAGAGATATTTTGCATTTTTAACTTCGGTTGGATCCAAGAACTTGAAGGATCTGTTCGATTGGTTTAAATTTCACAGTAAATGTCACATCCAAGAAATTCAATTTTTATTTTGGCTGTTTGATAGGAAAGTAGAAATTGAGTTCGAATTCCAAAGTACAACCATTTTGGATTTTTATTTTCTAACTTACATGGAATTGGAAAGTCTTTTCACCTTTGTAAATAAAACGGACCCGAAGTGAAATATGTTTTCATGGTGGCTGTAAAACAACTTAAGAAAACATTTGACAGTTTCCGTTATTGCATAATGAAATCAACTCGGGGACAGATCAAATGTTCAACTTTCCACATATTAGGGAACAAATTATAATTTTGATAGAAGGGATGGGATCACATACAGCATATCCACTAACAGATCGGTAGTACTTTTGTGCCAAGGTAATGCTACTGTCATATTTGCCCCTGTATTTGTCCGCAAAATCAAATAGCTGAAACAAAAAATAATCACTCGTCAGAAAGTAGGGTAAAAATGAAATATAACTAGAGTTGAAGGGTAAATTAGGAAATATAAATATAGCATTAACGTAATTATATTCACTACAAATTTTATCAGTTGCACCACATTTTAATTATACTTAATGTTCTTAATCTTTGCTTATCCAAAAACTGTTAAATAACGGTTTTTCATCCAAAAAATTCATTGAGATTGCGTAAAACGACTTATTTGCCCATTATCTTCAAAAAAATAAATACAAAAACTGTAATTTTTTAGGTAGAAAAAAAAATTTATGTAAAAACAAAAAAAATTCATGTGTAATTTTTTTTTTTTTTTACATATTAGCCCGGCTTATAATTTGATCATGGATCCATTCCTAAAGTACTATACTCGACAAAACCCAAGTGAATTTGACCGCTATTAGTTGAAAATTTTAGTACAAGACTCAAACGGTAAAATTAAAAAAAAAAAATTGAATATTAATCCGTCGAATTCACCTTATAAAAGTTTAGTAAGTACTTAATTAACCAACCTGGTAGGCATGTTCGAGTAGTTCATTAGCATAGGACGGGTTGTAGTGGCGAAACACTATGGATGCAGCCGCCATGGCAGCAGCAGTTTCACCGGCGAGATCGGATCCCGGATTGGTCGGGTCAATTTTATACGCGGCCCGTGAGGTGGTCATGTCCTCTGGCCTTTGCCAACAGTAATGGTCTGTGTTTCCATCTCCAACCTCTCCATAAAGAACATTAGGCTCCGGATGGGCTTTGATTAGATAATCAGTGCCCCATTTTATAGCATCCAATGCATTGCTAAGTTCTCCACTAGCACCCATTTGTTTTCCATACTCGATTATGCTCCAAGACATCATTGTAATTGTGAATGCCATTGGAAGCCCGAATTTCACATTGTCCCCTGCATCATAGTACCCCCCAACGAGATCCACCTGCAAAACATCGAAACAGACGTTTGTAAATCTCGAACAATCATGCTACATGTACAGGGCTGGTGGACAATTTCTTGACAGATTGCCAGCTGTCAAGATTTAATTGAATGTTGGAAAAAAAAAAATACAGTTCAACCAGACAATGCAGTGTTGTCACCTATAAAAATATCTGTAAAAAACATTGGTACAAGGAACTTAATTCAATCCCGAAACCCAGCTTAAGCATTAATTTGGATAGTCTCCCCAAAACACACAATTTTGAAGTACGAACTTATCTCAAGAAATTGCAGTAAATATTTTAACTGAAAACCAATTTTGTAGTAAATACGTACCCCGTTGATTTTTCCATCACTGAGTCCAGAATTACCCCGCCATTGGATTCTTTGCTTACTGGGCAAGTAACCAGATCTCTGAGCTTCAAAGAAGAGAATGCTCTTAGTAAGAGCTTGGCCATAGTCATGGCCGCCCAATGCCGAAGGAAGCATCCCAATTAGTACAAGAAACAGAGGCACAATTGAAAAACAGAGCCCCATTGATTTCTCCATTAAAATTTCAACCCAAAAGATGAAAAAACTCAAAAGGGTTTATGATAATATTCACTATAAAGATCTGGTCTGTGAAAATTATGTGTTCGTTTGTATAATGTATATTGTAGATATGTTAATAAAAATGCTGGTGTTTTGGCTTAGTTTATCAGCTAAAAATTCTGATAAACGAACACAGGACAGAACGAGAAAAATGGAGGGAGAAAGAGGATTGGGAGAAGCAGAAGAGCAAAAGGCAGTATATATGGAGGGAGAAGGGAAAGAAGGAAGTTACCAATAATATAGAAAACGGGCAGAGATTAATAAATGCAGTAATTTCGAGAAGGGAAAATAGTACTGTCAGTCAATAACGTATTGGCTTTATTGCAAATTGATCCTCAATTTATTTTCTGGTTGTATTGTCCTTAATTTTCTACCTCAACGGTGTCTTTGTATTGATTCAGTGAAGACAGGACTAAAATTTTTATACTGAGATGATCAATTTTGAGTTGGTCTCACAGTATCACTTTTTTTCCACTTCTAGCTAGATATGGGGGTGGATTATGACTGGACAGTCTAAACTGATGGTCACAACAGCCTCCATGTATATGTCTTAATGAAGAAGTTATGTTCGTTTTACCGTTACATAAAGAAAATAACACTCCAACATAGTCGCAATCCCCGACCAAGTCCCAACACAAATGGGGCACCACCATTTTCCTTTTACTTTGATATGATCGAGCTCAAAGCCACATCACGAACCCTAGAAAGAGGAAGGTACATAAGTGTCTATAAAAGGATAAAATCATTAATATTATAGAAATAAGTGATGAAAAGGTAGATATTACTTGTGAATTCTTCAAAATGTATGTATAAAAAGTAACTTAAATGTTTATAAATAATTTATAAACATGAGTCAAATATCGGCTTAGACTACTGTTAAATTATAAAGGGCTTTCAAATAAAATATTTGTCATTTTACCGTCATAAATGAACGACGTCCATTTGTTGTAAAATATTGTCAAGAAAAATATAAGCTGGGAACCAAATTATAATATAGTGTGTAGATTGGGGATTAATACTCCAAATTTCCCAACAACAAATAATTTGTCGGAGGGGCGTAGGCATGTGCTTTTGTTGGGCGGTTTTTCTGGGAAGTGTCGGCGCTGATTTGGCTGGAAATCAAATTAGGGAGAGATTAACGTTAATTATAGATTATTTTAAGAAATATGATTAGGACATCATTGCAAGATTGTCTGATCCATCCTTCCGAGTTGATACTGGATACTTACGAAAATGAGAGATGAAATTGAGTGTCAGTTTTTTCTTTCATTTTTTTAAAACTCTTTTTTTACGTGCTCATTTCAATCACAGATTCATGCAATAAAATATTCTAAACGTAAATTCAAATTCAATTACGGTTAAATTTTGTCCTTGCCATATAAATATATCTTTTAAGTTAATAATTTATACGAAGAAATATTGAGCTCAATCACTTTTAAATTTTTTTATTAAAAATCAAAAGATTGTACTAGGCATGTACAAGCACCAGATCTAGGGCTCACAATCCACCTTTAAACCTCTAGTCGATCTGAATAAATGTGATAAAATTTGATAGGAATCACGTTTAGTCCAATAATAACTCGACTTTTACACCGTTGTTAGAAGTAGATAAAATTGGAAAAAACTTATAAAATAATGGAAAAAATGAGAAAATTGAGTAAACATGTGTCCTATTCTAGTTTAATTGAATAGGACCCTATAAATTTGGGAAAACATGTGATAATGTTTGTTGTATTTTTCAGATAGATAATGACTCGATCCATCCCCTTTACGCCACTATTAGAAATCGGTAGTACTAGATGAAGGTGATAAATTTTTTGAGATATTGTGTATAATGAGGAAGTATATTGATAGAACTAGACATTAGTGTATTCTATTTACTTCTTAAACGAGTGTTGGGAAATTCAATTAAAAACAAATGAACAATAATTTTGTTACGCTTTTGCCTACAAGCAAGTCAAATGGTTGCTAGCTAATCAATGATGTCACCTCAGTGCTTTTCAAGACTATAGCCTATCTTCCAAGGTAATGAAGAATATCCCAATGTCTCATCGACATAACCTCCAAGACTAGGTAACTTGGCACTCACTTTCCTTTTTTGATGTGACCTCTAGATTTGTAATGCTTAACGATAAATGGGTCTCCGTGATTGGAGCAGTGGAGATAGATTTTTAGCCCTTGTGTAAACAATGGTTGACTTATGCAGCCACGTGAGAAGTGGTTGATGTGACATTACCTGCAATGAAGGTTGAGTGCATGCGTTATTTTACTTACCAAAATGGTGTGCGATGTCACTAACTTATTGATGCTTACGACTCGACATTGTGATGTGATGAAACTTGATCACTGAACTGTTGAGATGGTGTCACATGTCAAACATACATGAAATCTTTGTTCCTTCTCTTACATAAAAATATACTCACACTCAGTGCAATTTAAGAGTAATCAACCTTTTAGTTTTCTTAGTCTCTCTCTATATACAAATCTGACTCCAAATTATATTCTCATATCTAAGTGTAACTCTCGCACTCAATACACTTTGTCATTCTTTTTGTTACTAACTTGATCATCAGAACGTATACGATCACAACCTCCCCATCGCTTTTGTGTTTGGGGAGGTTCTAGTCTTGTGTATCTAACACGTGAGTTCCAAGTATGCAAATAACATACACTTGGAGAGAAGTGGAGATGAATCTATTGATGCAGGGTTCCAATTAGATTCAAAGGGCAATATTATTAGAAATTGTTCCATGATGCTCAGTTTTACATTTGTTTTACAAAGTTTGTTGACATGAATTGTTTGAAATCATTGCTTTCAATATGTATTTTCAATGCAAGAGCATAATGGGCGAGAACTAAATGAATCTTTTTTTTTTTTCATTAAAACAAAATGTTTATAATTTTACCACTCATAATTTTTCCAAAAAAAAATTACATCTTCTGCGTAGTTCTATCAAATTCAAATTGGACATGGTAAATATGGGAAATACGTCTGTGATAATATTTTTTATTTTCCCTTTTTCAGTTCGATAATGACTAAATCCATCCATTCCGTAACACCACTATTTATATAGAACTAGATAACTAAAAACTAATTCGTAAGTGATTGAGAATTTGTGAAGGGTCGCATCTAACTTGAACATTTATTATTGATCACGTATTAACACTTTCCAAGATATAGAAAACGAACTAAATCCAATTAAAATGATATTTTCCCTCCACAATTTTTAATTGAAACATACTAAAAATTAAATAAAATGGTCATAATATGTTTTCACCACGTGAGAATCGCCTAATATATTAGCCTTTTAAATTGTTTTTGACAAACCGATCCACATGATCTTTAGTTTGCATGATTCTACAATCCGACAAATAACACACAGACACAACCATAAATTTTCTCCATGGCATTCACATTTTAAAATGACCACCGACACCATACAGAACAATTTATTTCCTGCACAGTTGGTCAAATTCCAAATCCGAAAATGAATTACTTATTTTTTATTTTTGAAAGCCATAAACTACATTTGAAATTATAATAATTCTACAGGCTGTGTTAAAAATTATCAGCTCCAATTTTGATTCTGGTCATCTGAACATAAAATATACAAAAGAATAATGATATTTATCATCATTATGATAGAATATCGATGATGTGACAATTCATTATCTCTCACATTTCTCCCTCTCTGCTCAATCCCATCATTCCTCATAGATATCACTTCATCGATATTTTATCATCATAATAATAAATAGCATTATTTTATGCAAAATCTAATTTTTATTAGGTAAAGATTTTTTAAAACTTATTTTTTAACAAATTCATTTTAAATTGTACATTCTCTCAGTAAATCAATTTTGCACGTAAAATAATTTTTCCATCTCTCTTAAATGTACATTCTCTCAAGAAATTACATTTTTCGTGAAATATATTCTCAAAAAATCTACGTCAAACATGCTCTAAATATTTTTTACGTGATTCACACGAACAAGAGATGAATGTTTGATTACCCTAGAAAAATCTTACTATCAATCTTAACTAGAAGTCGTAAAATCTCATCAAACCTTACGTATCATCTTTAAAACTATGCAAAATCTCATCCCAAGTCGTATTTGGTTCAGTGTAACCTAAAAATCTTCACTTCATGGAAAAAAAAAAAATTTAATTACGACTATTAGTTCATTATGTCACTTATATGAATAAACGACACTTTTTCACTCAAGATCCAGGAGGAATTGACCGTAAACCTAATACCTTCTATTAGAATAATTGGTATTATTTATAAGAAATTGGAATAAGACTCCAACATGTGCAACTCTTCAATGCAAATAATGCATACAAAGAGTCATATTGCTTGGAATGGATGTGATTATTTAAAAGGTGCACGATCATTTGATAGGGTGTATGCTACATTATTTAATGTGAAAATTTGTGGTTTATGTTAAAAGCTGCAACCATTCAAAAAATCACTTGAAAATCTGAAAATAGAGACTAAATAGTTCCATTTTTTCTACTCCAAATCAATTCCTAATAATTGATTTCTAATTCTTTCTTTCTCTAAATTCTGTCCAAATAATTTTCAGATTATTTTTAGTTTTGCACTCGATATTTAATGTTCGATACCTTCCATTCTAGAAGAGTACAATCATGCATTAGTTTGCAGGGCAAAATTTAACAGAGTTATATTAATTTTGGAAGAAGCGTTGTATCTTGAGAGACGGACGTTCATTTGATCTTGTTAGCACTATTATAGAGGAAGTAATATGTTTTAAGGAGATTTGCATCTTGCTTCATTTTATCTCATTCGATTTTTGC